ATACACTATGTTCTACTCAGATTGTGAGTAATGGTGTCTTCATATAAAAAACTCTTCTCTTTTTTCTTTTTTTATTCAGACATGTTTAATCATTTGAATGCCTCATATATATTTTCTTCTTTTTGCTATGTCCTCCTTCAGGACACCAGTTAATATAGCTCTCAGGTCTTTTTTTTCCTTTTCTTTATTATCTGCGAATAGCTAGGATTTTTTTTTAATCATTTCACCCAAAGCAAGGCTGGAATACCACTATACACAAGAGGTTACAGCAAGTGAAAATGAAAGAAAAGACTGTGTATTAGGTGGATAGAGGAAAAAGACAAAAGATGAACGGGATTCAAGAAGATGAAAGATGGCGTTTGACATCGCATTTAAATTTTTGAGGATTATAGTTATCAGGTAGCAAGTAAATGGAAGGTATTCCTCAGGTAGGAAGTATGAGAAAAGAAACTTGGAGTAGAAGTGGTGGTTACATTTAGCTATTTCAACAGTAAAAGGGTGGGACCTAGATGCCAATCTAGTAGCACATTTAAATTCATATAGTTGGGACACCAGGGAAAAAAGCTTATCAGTGCAATTGCCATGAAAATATTTGTAGAAAAGACAGAGGGAAGCCATATCACACCAGTGAGAATGTGACTGAAGTCAAGATGACTGGTCAGGATTGATTACATTACAAATCCTTCTTTGAATTTTGTCAAGAACCTTGAGATATATAGTAGGAGCACCATACCAGACATGGCAACAGTATTCAATGCATGAACGAATGGTAGATTTGTCAATGTGCAAGATGGACTCTGATGAGAAAAATTTTCTAGCATGGCATAGTGACCTAACTTTCCTTGCAGTAGATGCAGCTACTGATTCAATCTAATCATTCCACTTCAAGTTAGTTAAAAAATGTGAGGTCAAAATGGCACAGTATATTGCCCTCCAGGAGTCTAGAATCACTCATACTGATGGCAGGCAGAAAAGTTTCTATATGGTGGTTAAATGAGAGCAGTTTTGTTACAAAGGCATTAAAATTTACAAGCCATTTCCTGCCCAAGTTAATCACTGATTGGAGGTCCATTTCAAGAGCAGCAGCCAGGTTTACTTTGCCAGCTCTGACGGAATTTCTATTGAGACAGGAGTAAATGGTAGTGTCATCTGCATAAATGCCTACTTGGGAGCTGATGACATCTTCCTTGGTAAAGATAGTGGAGTAGTTTCCTGTTGGCTTCTCTAGGGTTTGGAATTCAGAGGACCTTCTTAGACTGGCTGCTATCCAAGGCTAGAAAGTTCAGTCTTCCCTAATATTTAACTCATGCCTTGGGAAAGAATATATGGATCTGTACCCTTCTCATGGGCATTTCTAAGCTGGAATTTGAACTCATTTCTGTGGTGATGCTTGTTATACTAATTGCACTTTGATAACTTTATTTAAAACCCAGAACACCAAAACTGAACAACTCTTTATTAAACATCTGAGAGACACCTCTCTCTTTTCCCTAAGTATGGCTGATGCTGGCCTCCAGGAGAGTGCCTCATTGCATATTCTTGGGCTAACATTCTTGACTGACATGAAGTGGAAAGACTATATTTAATCCATTGCTATGGCAGCTGCTAGGAAAGTTGATTCACTGTGCTGTGCAAGACAATTGTTCTCTAGAATCTATCTTACATATCTATGTCTACCATTCAACCATGCTTAGAATATTGCTGCCATATATGGTCTGGTGCTTCTGCTATTTATATAGAACTTCTTGATAAAATTCAAAGAAGAATCAACAATATTACTGGTCCTAATGTGGCAACTCGGCTTAAGACACTTTCCAACCACCATAAAATTGCCTCCCTGCACCTTTGCTATAAATACTTTTATAGTAATTGTAAATGAGCTCTTCACTATGGTACCTAGACTGTTTTAATTTAGGCGCAATACTTAACTGGTGATGAGGCTTCATCAATTTACAGTTGAGCTGCTTAGATGTGTTCATCTTGTCTAGTTTTCTGCACATTGAGAGTGTTCTTCTACAACTGAGAAAAAGCAGGTATTATGTCGCTCTCTCAGTCCCAGATCCATGCTGACTATTGGCTAATATCTGCCCAATAGCATTCGTATGCAAATTTTTTCAGCACCATCTACTGTAAGTAGAATGTCTTCTCTCAACAGCCAATTGTGGAAGGGGACAACTCCTGGTGCTTACTGCACTACGCACAACCAACTCTGGGTCACTTATTGGGTTGACCCAGATCTCTGTTATACTAGATGTAACTGCAAATTCTATGCTAACAGTTTCTTTTCTCACACTTCTCGCTTGTGGAACTCCAGCTCAATACCAGCTTAAATCTGCAAAAATTTAAATGCAACATGATTTGCTATCTATTGTCCTTTTGATTACTCTTCTTTTGTTCTCACTCCATAGTAATGTTTCTGTTTTTTTAATTCTTCCACACCCAGTAACCCCATGTATATTAGTGGATTTACTATTTTGCTTGGGGTGAAGTCAATTTTAAAAAGAAGTTAAAGTTTAAAATATGAAACTGATCTCATGATCATTGTTGATCTCATAGACAGAAGTCAGATTCATGAATAATGGATCTTTAGAAAGATGGCGATGTGATGCAAAGTTTTAAGTAAGAATTTATAGTTAGTAATTAGTATACTATAAATATGTCTTCATAATATTTTCTCCTCAAAGGGCTATGTTCTTTTTTAATTATGCTGACATTAGTGAAATCAATGTTATATCCCATATATATATATATATATATATATATATATATATATATATATATAATAAAATAAAAAAAAAGAACAGTAAGATATATAATCCAGTGTTCTTATAGATATTTTTATTTTTACAAAATAATGCTCAATGTAAATTTACAGAGCATTAATATTATAAATTAATTGATTTAAAATATGTTTTTTTAGAACTACACAGTTCTTAAATCAATTCCATTTTTTGAAACATTATTTATTTGAAAATTATATATATATATATATATATCATTATTTATTTGAAATTATATATATATTATATATATATATATATATATATATATATATATATTTATTTAAAAATTTATTTATTTATCATTATTTATTTGAAAATTATATATATATATATATATATATATATATATATATATATCATTATTTATTTGAAAATATTATTTATTTGAAAATTATATATATATATAATATATATATATGATTATTTAAAATCACATGAATATTATAAATCACTACCATTATAGCCATTTTATTTTAACAATTATAGTCTCTTATCAAGTGGTGGTGTTGAATGTAGAATAAAGGATTTTAAAAGGTTCAAATCAATCAAACACCCCTTGCTAAGGGAAACCAATGACCAATCAAATTACAAGTATATGAGAATTCAAAAAACTTGACGATAAACAATATGTGCCAACAAGATTTAAGCTATAAAACAAAACTTGACAGAAAGAATTATTTTAAAAGATTAACCCTTTTTTTAAAGTATATTTTAAGATTTCTCAACTTCAGCTTTTAAAAGGTTTTATAGCAAGCTTTTTTTTTTATTGGAAAATATCCAAAGTATTTTTATTTTTCAAGCACCTTTATGTTTTTTAGGCTGATGTACTTCTCTGCTTATGGTATATGTCAATGATTCTTGCTTTTCTGAAAGTTTTTAAGTGATGGTTGTTGGGTACTCCTCTACTGTGCATCTGAAAGTACCATAATCAATAACTAATGTTTACCAACATACAGATTTTATTTCAAGAGTAATGTCACCACACTTTGAATACATCAAGCAGCTTTGAGCAGTATAGATTCTGAGTATTTGTATCTAGCATTATGCCATTTGAAACAAAAGGGACAACTGAATAGTTTTCATAATGATATGATATGTATATAATGATTTTAATAATATGCTGGGATCATAGATTGTCTTTAGATGTGTACATGAAATAGGCTTTGGAGTAAAGGTCTGTAAAAAATGAAAATGCTTTTGATACACCCTGATGCATAATAATAATAATAATAGGAGAGTCATAGATTGTCTTTAGATGTGCACATGAAATAAGCTTTGGGTTAAAGGTCTATAAAAAGGGAAAATACTTTTCATGTATAATAATAATAATAATAATTTTTTTTAAGTTTATATAATACTCTACATATATTAATTTAAGCTTCACAGGACCTTTCCTTATATAATATAATATGGTGGCATCACAAATAGTCTTTACATGAAACAAGCTTTGGAGTAAATATCTAAAAAATGAAAACACTTTTGATACACCCTGATATATAATAATAATATTAATAATATGGTGGAGACATAGATAGTATTCAGATGTGTACATGAAATAAACTCTGGAATAAAGGTCTATAAAAAATGAAAATACTTTTGATACACCCATATATAATAATAATAATAATAATAGTCTTTAGATATGTATATGAAATATGCTTTGGAGTAAAGGTCTACAAAAAATGAAAATACATTTGATACACCTTAATACATAATAATAATATTAATATGGTGCTGTCATAGATAATTTTTAGATGTGTACATGAAATAAGCTTTGGAATAAAGGTCTGCAAAAAATGTAAATACTTTTGATATATCTTTATATATAATAACAATATTAATAATATGGTGAAGTCATAGATAGTTTGTAGATGTGTACATGAAATAATCTTTGCATTTACTGACAATATGAAAATGCTTTTAATACATCTTTATATATAACAATTATAATATAGCAGATTAATAGAATGAGCAGGTGGTGTAATAGATATCAATGCAGTCAGTGGAACTGGTGAGCAGGGTTCAAATACTCTGATAGTCTCTTGTGTCTACTTTTACACAAATGTCTTCTCCCTCCAGCTATGGGTTAAACAGCAAGTTTGATTGATCTCTTTAGCCTTTGGTGGCAACCAATATAAAACAAGAAAGACTTCCGAATCCCAAACCGTAGAGAATGCAAACCACTCCACTACCTTTCCAAGTCTGCAGGGCGATTCACTAATAATAAAGAAAAGAGATCTGTGGAGGGCCATGACTGCCTACCTCCTGAATAATTATAAAATTATTATAAAATATGAAATGAAGTTGATTTATAGTTTTTAGATGTGTACATTAAATATGCTTCGCGGCAAAGGTTTATAAAAAATGATGAAACTATTTTTGAAACACTGTAATATTTTATGTGTATTTGTGCGTGTGTGCATACACAAAAAGCTATGTGTGAGAACGGAAAAAGCGGGGAAAATTTCAGAAGCAATACAAGACGTAAACAATAAAGAGAAAAGGATAAGAATTTGAAGAAAATGTAAGAAAGATGGATGTAATAAATATGTAAAAGGAGAAAGCAAAGAAGGGGAAAAAGAGAAAAATGAAATGAGAAATAATATAAAAAAGAAGAAGAAGGAGAGAGAGAGAGAGAGAGAGAGAGAGCAAAGGAGAGAGGAAAAAGAAAAGAAGTTTTGAGAAAAGAGAAAATAGCTTGCCAAAGAGAGGAGAGTGGAGTAAAAATAAAGCATAAAGGAGGAGAGGAAAAGAAGAAGAAAAAAACAAGAAAACGGGAAGTAATTAAGAAGAGAGAGAGAGGGGGAGAATGGTGGCTCAGAAAGAAACAGAAAGTGAGGAAGAAAGTAAGAAAAGCATAGAGTAGAAAGAAGAAAAGGAGGAAGAAGAAAAGAATGAAAGGAAAAGAAAAAAAGAAAGGACTAAAAAAGAAGGGAGAAGAGGCCAAAAAGAAGCAAGAAAGAAAGAAAGAAAGATTTAGTAGGGGTACTGTGTCAACTTATACACATATTTCTTGATTCATCTAATCATGTGTGTGTACACTCTTACATGTATAGATGCTGTTTTTGAACGAAGTTTACTTCAGTTAAGAAACAGAATGAAGTATCTCTCCTTACCTTTGTAATTCTCTAAGAAGAAGAGAGAAATGGAATTGAGGGGGAAATAAGAAATAAAAGAAAGAGGAGAGACTAAAAAAGAAAAGAATGAAGGAAAAGAGGAAAAAGAAGAAGAGGAAAAAGACGTAAAATTAAAAAGAATACAAGAGAAGAGAGAAAGAGGGTGTGAAGAAAATGAACAAGTGGAAGGAAAATAGGGGGAATGAATAATTAGTACTAGAAAGAAAACTGGGAAATTAAACTGAAGAAAGAAGAAGAAGAAGCAAGCAGATTGAAAAACAGGGAAAGTAAAATTAATACTACAAACAAATAGTAAACGAAAGTGAAAGTAAATGGGAAAATGAAAGTAAAAAGTAGAAAGAGACAAATAAAAAGACGACGACGGCGGCGGCAACGAAGAAGACCAACAACAACAATTCAGCAGGATCGTTGTCCCTATGAGTAAAACGACCAAATACGAAGGGCCAGTCGTACACACGGACACACCCGCGCGGGTCTACGTGTGTTAGGGGTACTACCATACAGATGTAGACTGATCGACAGAATCGTGGAGGTACACACACGCTAGTGCTCGCAGAGGGCTGTCGGAACCGCTACTTTTTCTTCGTCAAGAACTAACAACAGCACGCACGCGCACACACGCGCACAAACATACAAGCGCACCTACGTCGTGCCGCGGTTGTCTGACAAAAGCCGCAGTAAATGTAAAATACTTCGCCGTGGCGACACAGCGGATCGCTCGTCCGTTCGCCAGTAATACACACACGCGCGTGCGTTCTTTCACGTTCATTCATTCTCTCACATTGGTTTCATTCGACGCTGGTGAGACTTTTCCCCCCCATCAGATTCAAGAAAAAGAGAACAGGTAAGTCATTGATCAGTCAATGTTTTCTTTGTGGCTTAGTACGGACATTTCTACACACACACACACACACACACACACACACATATATATATACACACACACACACACATATATATATATATATATATATATGGCCTGACGATTGCGTTTAGCACGAAACTATGGCCTCTGGCTGTTGACTTCAATGTCCACTTTTATATATATATATATGCAATTCATGCACACGTTTTCTTTCTTTATTTTGATTGCTTTTTCCTTTTTAAGAGACATCGGCTGGAGTTTATATTCCTAACGCTAAAAAATGAGCAAAAGTGCAAAACGTATTTTAAAAATCTTTTTTTTTTTTTTTCTTAATCCCTGAAAGAAGTTTTTGCAAACTTTCAAATACAAAGTATGCATATTTTGTAAATTAAAATTATAGTTAAATTATTCGGTTCTAGAAATTTTGTTAAATATTAAAAATGTACAAGTGACAAACAAAATGATAAAGAAAAAAAATCTTGTTCTTACGGAAAGATTGTTTTTAGTTTGTTTGTTTTTTGTTTTTTTTTGTTTTTTGTTTTTTGTTTACTATTTACTTTAAAATGACTTATTGGTTGCTATTATGATTCATTCAAAGATTTTCCTTTGCATTTTTAATTTTGTTTTACGTCGTTTTTATGGCCAGTTTTGAGTTTAGTGTATGTGTGACATCAGAAAATATTGTCACCAGAAAAAAAAAAAAAGACTTATGTGTCATTATCGGTATTTCGAAAATTGTTTCAAGGCCACTTTTTGATATTTTGTCTTACTTAGCTTCTAACGAGGAGTTTTGTTTTGATGGGTTTCTTAAATTCTTTCTTCTTGATGAAGAGAAATATTTTAACCAACAAGTGCGTCAGGATAGATCAATAACAACTTGACAAGAAGACAGTTTTTAAAAAATGTGAAAATCAATTTCATTTATAAAAGTTTTCTCTCCCTCTGTTTTTACCGTTGTTAATGTTAATATTTGTAAATAGTTTTCATTCATCGTTATGTGAAATTTTAAAAGTTGCACAATTTCTGAGGGAATTTGTTTGTTAGTGTCTGTTCATTTTTATTTGCATTTTAAACAACAAATAAAACTGGCCGCTTACTGTAGCAGCGAGAGGGTTTACTTCTCTAGCATGAGAAATTGTACTCGAGTTCGATTCTCATGCTTACATCACTATTGCCGCCTTGTGTCAGACTGGTTTAAATTAAGACGATAAATATATTAAAATCGGTTATTTCCTTATTAAATAGTTGTCACAAGTTAATTTTTAAATAATTCACAAAAATGACAATCACCAAGTGGTCAGTAATAGTAAAAAAAAAAACTTTTCACAAAATGTGGCAAGCGAACTGATTCGATACATGAATACGAATTCTGTACCTGGATAGATATTTATTTAAGCATAGCTTGGTCTAGGCACATCGATAAGCGAATGAAGACAGAAATGGTGATAAATGGTGTACGTCAATCTTTTTAAGTATGGATGGGTTGCTTACTGATAAAATCAGCATCCAAAAAAAAACAACTTGTCTTTTGTCTGGGTTTGAAAACCAACTTCGATTAGAAATATATAGCCACTAACTATCCTCTACCTTTATAAGAGCCAGATCAGGCCGAAAACTGAGCACTGTCCAGACCTCACTGTCCAGTCTTGATCGAGTTCAAAAGTGTCTCTATGTCTTTGTTGGAGAAGAATTATTTTCCACATTCCAAACTCTCCCTCACAGGCGGGATGTGGCGAGTCTCTCACCTCTCTGTCGCGTCTACCATGGAAAGAGCTCGAATGAACTGCATCTCCCGGTCCCATCAGGTTGACCTTCACGGCTAGGACCCGCCATGCCACTTATATAGTAACAAACCACCCTCATTACCTCCGTATTCCATCGGCGAGAAGTTCCGCTCAAACAGCCTCTTCCCGCGAACCTATGGAACAGACTCCCAAGAGGATGTTTCTCCGATCACTACAGTCATAAAATATTCAAGTGTAGAATCTACCGTTATCTTCCCCTCCTGTCTATATAAACTATCCTTTGTCATAACCCTCTACCTTGAGTGGCCCCCGGGACTTGTAAATGGTGAACTTTAGTGTAAAAAAAAACAGTCCACTATCTTTACCAAGAAGGCATGGCAATATTGCAGAAAAGGAAGCTATGGAGTGCCATTATCATTTACGAGGGATTAAAAATATTTTAAATATTCTAAAAGATGTAATTTGCATCACTTGTAAACTACTCTTGTTACAGTATTTGATTTTCACACGTTACCCAATATTTTGTGCCTTGTGCCAGGCGAAACTAAGTATAGTAAACAAATATCTACACGTGTGTGTTAAATATAAATTCTAAACTTAGATTGCATAAATTCACAGATAATCTTCACGTTAGAAATAACCTTTCTTTTCCTCTAAGACATTTTGAAGCGCTAAAATAGACTTTGTGTTATGCACCCTTCACATTACTTCTCATATACTAGTGCTTGATGATATTCCTTCTTCTTTTGTGCCGTGTGATACGACAAAAAAACATGGGCGATTATGGTTCTCCACAACGTCCCATCCATTGTAGCTCTTGCTTCTCTTTTTGCTATCTCTCCTATGTCAGTTTTGCTATCTAAGCTCCCTGGGTAGGTTGCACAATGCTTCCCTCTGATCCTTAGCCTTCAGTATGTCTTGTGTGTGACAAATTCCCCTAGCCTTCTTACCTCGTTACGTGTCCCAGAAATTTCAACTGTCTCTTTCAGATTCTAAGTAGAAGTGTCCGTATTATTTCCTTAATACTTCCTCGTTGCTCACATTCTCCATTCGTGGCATTTCCAGCATCCTTTTATAGAATAACATCTCTGTTGCCACAAGTCTCCTCTTCATCTGTGAGGAAATTGTCCAGAATCCACTGCCATATAGAAGGAGTGATATTACGTAGAAAGTTCAGCATTCTTTTCTTTGTTCCAAGCGGATCTTTTCCGTTTCTTAATACTTTGTTGCTCAGCCTTTTAGAAGGCAAAATATTTTGTAAACAAAAATTTGACTGATAGTGATTTTTTTAAAGTATTTTTGATTTTCTGTTCTATACACTGTGTGAAGCTGATAAATTAAAAAAAAAAAACGTTAACTTGCATAAATGTTTTAAAAAATAGTGTATCCAATCGCTACAAAAAATAAAAATACATTAACATTCAATGTCCTCATCTTTATCTGAATGCTTCAGTCGAATATGATAAATAAATAATGTAAATAAAGATAATTCCTCATTACAGGCTTGCAGTTACCAACGCATCACATCTATGTAAACACAGTGTAAAACACGTTCAAACGCACGTATATGCACTTGCCAAAAATGAAACCGGTTGCTTCTCTAAAAGATGCATAATTTTTTCTTATAAAATTCTTTTTTTTAACCATAATTTCTCACAGAGTTTCAGACAGAAACTTTGTTCAGCGGGACTAAGATTTTAATTTTATCTACTATTCCTAGCATCGTTTTTTTTTAGCGCAGTGCTACAATTACGGGCCACTCAGTGAGGATCGATCTTTAATTACATTTAACTAACAACCAGACCATTACCTTATAAGTCGAGGTGCCCGGTAATTAGCTCAAAATTTGCGAGTAGATATGATGAACATTTTTACGTGTCAGAAAACAGCGATTTTTGTTTTGTTTTTTGTTTTTTGTTTTTTGTTTTTTTGTTTGTTTGTTTGTTTTCTTTGTTATTTTTTGTTTTTTGTTTTGGGGGGATTTTTAAGTTTATTTTTTTTTTTTAACCCTCATTTTTAAAGAAAGATACAAAAAAAAAATTGTGTCACGTCAATCTGCCAAAGTGGAAAAAAACTGTTTTACCTGGAAAATCAACATTCGATCCCCCCCCCACTCTACCTCTGAGGTAGAACACCGATCTCTGGCAATAAATACTTCGACCACGAGGCAAACTAATTTTCTTTGTTTCTTTTCGAGAACTTTTCATATTATAAGATTTTTTTTTCTAAGGTAAATATGGAAAAGAGAGAGATTCTAAAAAAATGTCTACTATTTTAAAAACTTAATTGAATTCTAATTTGAAGTAGTTTATAGGTGGAAAATTATTTAAGAATTGCATTTTTTTTTTTTTTTGTTTTAGATTTTTATTTAAGCTGTGAAATCCGTGTACTGTAATTTTTTTTTTTTTTAACTGCGGAATATTTATTTATTTACCCTTTAAATTTATTTATAATTTATATAATTCCCGCTACAAAGTAAAAAAAAATGCTAACTTTTGTTTAGTTTTTTAAATTAAAACGCATTTTTTAATTAAAGTAGTTACTTAAAAACCTTGGTAATTGTTATCAATCTCCTATCTATCTATCTATCTATCTATATAATATATATATATATATATAGTTTTGATTAAAACAATTGAGGCACAAGGCCATAGGGGAAAAGGGGGGACAGACTAGTGGACACTTTCTATCCTAGACCTAAGCTAAAAACTGATTCACGACTCATTCATTCATTCTTTGCTTCTTACCTTTCTTACTTTACCTGCGTTTGAGACTCCTTCTTTCTGTCTTTCTTTCTTTCTTTTTTCATTCTTTCATTCTTTCTTCCTTCCTTCCTTCCTTTGTTTGGGTCTTTCATTCTGTCAACTTGTCACAATTCGTACTTTAGCACACAAATAAACGAAGCAATACAAAAAATGATGAGCAAATTTATTTATTTATCACATCAGTATTTTTCTTTCTTTTTTTTATTGTAGTATTCTTTCATTTGACGGATTTTTTTTTTTTTTTTTCGTACCGTTTGGAGCTGACGACGTATTATTACCCATGTCAGATGTTCTAAACAATTTTCATTCATTTTTACGGTTTACCGGTTGCAACATTTTTTTCATGCGAATATCACTCCCGCATTTTTTTCAAAGCAACATCCATACCGAAATTGTAC